GTTGTTTAAAGACGCAAACATTCAGCTGTGACTCTGTTTAGAGCTATATTGTAGCAAAAACAGACAAATCTGACAATATTGTGTTTAAAATGTTGTGCTTAATATTAATATTCTTCTGTTGAACACAAAAGAAGATATTTTAAAGAATGTTGGTAACCAAACAAGTGATGGTCTCCACTGATTTCCAAAGTATGATAAAAACACTACGGAAGTCAATGGCTACCGGCCAACATTCTTCAAAATATCTTCTTTTGTGTTCAGCAGAAGACAGAAACTCAAACAGGTTTGCAACAACTTGAGGGTGAGTAAATGAAGAGAGTATTTAAATTTTTGGCTGAACTATGCTTTTAAACTTAGCGTAAATCTATTTATTTATTAATTATATCCCATTAGATAAAGCATGAAATAGTGATGATCTTAAAAGATGGACAAATGAGCGTCTGGTTCAAGATGGATATGGTATTTAATAACCAGACTGACCAAAAAGCCTTCACCGCTCGCTCTCTTTTCTTTCGTCTTCATTCATGGCCGTTCATGCCGCCTGAAAAAAGTGGAGGGCGTTTGATCCGAAGCGGCTTGAGTTCATATATAAATAGTTCCTTTGGGCCCCGAGCTCCACGCGGTCGAGGCTGTTTTGGCAGCGAACGCAGTCGTAGTCTGCGCTGGGAGAAGCACGCTCTCCGCTTACCGCGGTAATTGGCTGATGAAGAGTCTCGGGCCCTAAAAAGAATGTCAGGGTTCGATTTCCCGGGATCCTGAGTGAGGATATGTCACCATTTACGCTCTTGGCAGAAGCTCTGGGGAAATCATTACTCTGTTTATGTCGCACCGCGCTTCCCTTTGATATTTTCACAATGTTTTTCCACTGAGTGATGCTGCCTCACCGGGGTCGGGGAGAACAAGTCCCTTTTGTAAATTTGTGACTGTATTTTAACGGGCAAAAGAGAAAAAGGCAGACAATTGGTGACGAGTAGCGGGAAGCCGCTGAGAGGCTTGAAGGGAGGATCAATGCTTTCCAGCAGGTGTCTTCTCCGAGTAAAGAGACGCTTCTATTGATTTCTGAGGCCGCAGCCACATTTATATCCCGGATTGCTTCTGGCGTGCTGAATTTGGGCTTTTTATTCCACAGTTGTTTTGATTTGTTCACCGTGAATAATGTTTAAATTATTTTTGCACTGCAAATGAAACTTTAATGACCCTGTGTTTTTATTCAGACGATTCTTCTGCTCATCAGAGGTGCATTTATTTGATCAAAAATACAGTAAAAATAGTGAAATATTATTAGAATGTAAAACAGCTGTTTTCTGTGTGAATCTCTGTTAAACTGTAATGTATTTCTGTGATGCGCAGCTGTATTTTCAGCATCATTCCTCCAGTCTTCAGTGTCACATGATCTTCAGAAATCAGTATAATATGCTGCTCGAGAAACATTTCTGATTATTATCAATGTTGGAAACAGTCGTGCTGCACAATATTTTTGTGGAAACCGTGACACACTACCATTCAAATGTTTGGGATATGAAAGATTAAAAATAAAAATGAACACTTTTATTCATCAAGGATACATTAAATTGTTCAAAAGTAACAGTAAAGACAATGCGACAAAAGATTTCTGTTTCAAATAAAAGCTGTTCTTTTGAACTTTCTGTTCATCTGTGAATCCTGAAAAATAAAATGCATCACGGTTTCCACAAAAATATTAAAGTTTTCAAGTCAAGTCAAGTCAGCTTTATTTATATAGCGCTTTTAACAATACAGATTGTGTCAAAGCAACTGAACAGCATTAATTAGGATTAGGATTAATTAATTAGTGTCAATAATGCAAAGTGACAATCGTAAACACAAATTTTTCAGTTAAAGACAGTTGATCATTGAATTCAGTGATGTCAACATCCAGCTCAGTTTAAATAGTATCTTTGCAATTATGTCAACGATAACGCTGGAAATGAAGTGACCCCAACTAAGCAAGCCAGAGGCGACAGCGGCAAGGAACCAAAACTCCATCGGTGACAGAATGGAGAAAAAACCTTGGGAGAAACCAGGCTCAGTCGGGGG